GTCTCTTTGCTGTGCGTATAAGAATGACTCAAATCATTGAACTTTGTCCAAAATAGTGGGTTGCTCTATAGAGCCCCAGCTTTGTTCAAGGATGGAATTAATGACTGGGTTGGACAATTTATTTGAATTGCAGCTAGCAGCAGTTTCTGACTAAGACAGGTATTTTGCTTTTAATTATTTACTTAAGAATAATATTTTCTGAAATCATGTGCTTCTTAATTTATTTGGCAAAAAATAGATCATTATATTAATCAGCCAGCAGTCTGTTCTGTGAGAGTAATTATTCTTCTGCCTTCTCAAACAAGTCAACACACTAGTCTAGAAATGAAGTTCATAAAAGAACAGTTCTTCCTAAGTCTGCTTTTACACACGGCAAGCAAACATAGTCAGTCCTTTCTCTTTCTTGTGGATGGCCAAGTTTTCATTTTAAAATAACTGCCAGCACTACAGACTTCACTAGGCAGGTGATACCTGCCTTGGCAGGGGCTGGGTCACTTTCGTACATTGGTACTCCGACAATGACTGCTTCTCATGAGATGAAAGTATCCCCAAAGAGACCTTGACATTCTTGTGCCCTTTGATATGTAGAGCTCCGTGCCCTTCAGATTTCAGTTTTTCTGTCATCATTTTCTGTCAGGTAGATTAACTTTAGCAGTTAAAAGGAAAGTGTCCTCTGAGGGCTTCACCAGTAACAAACCCGTGTTTATGATATTATTCACTAAAAGGGAGAAAGAAATGGGAAAGACCTCTCTCTTTAATCAATAATGCATGCTCTAGTTAGTCCTGTCCTCTGGACATGATTAAACATGTATTTTGTTTCATAACTGATGATTTTGTTTGACTAGGGATTATAACTATATATCCTCAAGCCTTTGCAACTAGCATCAGGAAGATCTAACAAGAATTGGGTAGTCAGCTATGTTTAATGTTAATATGGCACATAAATGAAAAAGACAACCCCCACCCCCAAAAGAAAAAGATACCCCAAAATCCCAATGGGGAGAGCTGCAGCTCATTCTGACCTGTAGCGAGCCAAGGCAAACTTGCACAGGGCAGATGCCTTTGACATGAACCAAATGCAAACAGTAGCCTCAGTGTGTATCTTTGTCACCACTCATTTGAAGTTTTGACAAATAACATGTTTCGTTCATGTTCAAGAAAAAAAGTCTCTTAAAATCTGAGCCATAAAAATTGTTAAGGTCTGTTCTTAACTGGTAAAATATTTGGACAATGAAGCTGATGTCTTCTGCCCCGCTGGTTAGGGACCATGCGGTGTCTTTAGCAGCTGTTGCTGGCTTTGGGGGAGTTGTCCTGGGCTGTTCCAGGCCCCCACAGCACAGCTGGTGGGAGCGCCTGAGCCTTTGTTAAAGCCAAAGGAGCAGGTGATCACCCCCATCCCGGTGTTCCTCATAAAGAGGGGCAGACAAGGTGCCCAAACACAGACAGCTTCCTCAGCATGTGAGGGGGACAGTGAGTCTTGGAGGACACAGTTAAATAAACTGAATGTATCAGCAAGGAATATTCAGCCTTAATGCCAAGTATTTTCATCTGGTGGCTCAAGCTGACAAAATTTGACAGCTGCTCAAGAGCAGAGAATCCTAAATGAACATACAGTGGTTGTTGTTAAATAGGAAATATTTATCTTAATGTGATATTGACTATAGCACAATAAACGATGACAATTTCCTTGTACTAGAATGTGGTACTGTACAAGCGCAGTTGGGCGAAATAAATGCTTTGTTTTTCACATGGACCACTCTACTGGAAACAGCATTTGAAAACTGTCCAGTGCACACACAGCATGTAGGTATGTGTGCACGTGAGAGGAGGGAATTCAGAAATTTTGTAAGAAACGTTTGCTTCTTCTGAAATGTTTTTGTTTCTTGTCTTCTTCCCAGGCTCTTTTTTTTTTTTTTTTTTTTTTCCTTTTGCTGAAGAAAAATGCCTTCTTTGGGAGGGAAGGTGCAGACTGTCTTGGGCCCTGTGGATCCAGACCACCTTGGCTATACGTTGACTCATGAACACTTGACTATGAACTACAGCAGCTGTTTTTGTCCACCATCTTCAGGTGAAGAGCCTCTGTCTGATGGGCCAATTGAGATGAAGAACTTGTTTTGGATTAAGCAGAATCCCTACAGCCATAAAGAAAACCTTCTTTTGTATCAAGAAACAGATGCTGTGAAGGAGGAGCTGTTGCATTTTAAAGCAGCAGGTGGTGGGACGATCGTGGAAAACACAACCACAGGAATTGATCGGGATGTGAATACTTTGAAGAAACTTGCTGAGGAAACTGGAGTCCATATTATTGCTGGGGCTGGGTTTTACGTGGGTTCCACTCATTCTTCTCAAACACAGGCCATGACAGTGGAGCAGGTAAGTCTTAACCATTGCCTTCAGAGTCTCTTTCCTATGAATTACCCCTGGATGAGTCAAAGTTGGAGAGCAGTTCCAGCAAAATAGATGAAATCTAGAAGTTCTAAACGTGAAAAACTCGGGAACAGCTTTACAGCTTGTGTGTACAGCTACACCAACACTACTTGTGTGTGCTGAGATTATCTGTCAGCATTTCCAATTCTTAAGCTCCGTTTTCTCTCAGGGATTTGTTATAATGCAACAGTAAAAGGAAAATAAAGTACTTAATGTGCGGGCATCTGGTACAACACCAATTATCCTGTTCTTTTTACAATTTTTAAGGAAGAAGCAAATCCCTTCTGCCTCTTTTGTCTCTTTTTCTGGCTAATTGCTTCCCAATGAGATCACCCAGAATTCTTGTAAAAAACATAAATAATTGCCATATTTATAGGACAGTTGTAAATCATTGCTCTGCTCAGGCTGGCTGTTAAATCTCTCTTCTCTACCATTTGTCCAGACTCTTCAGGACAGAATCTACGTCAGATTGTTTGTATGGTGCCTAAGACAATGTGTTAATAATGGCTGAGGTCCCCAGATATTCCTCTAATAATAAATATTCACTCATCTTTTATTAAGAAAATGTGATGATAGGGAGAAGAGGGAAGGGAACTCTCCAAGGCAGGAGGCTGTGAATGCCTTGATACAGAGCTGAAAAAATTTTTTAAAAATCTCTCACAGTTTACAAATGAGTAAAATTCATTTTAAAAATCAATGGTCAAAACTTGAGCAGTGCTGCTGACCACACTGGACTCAAGCTGTCCCGAGCTGTATGGAACAGTACTACTTTTCCTAAATATTCTTCTGTTGCTTGAAATTTGATACAAATAGATTTCTGGGGGCAAAAGTTTCTCTTCTGCATTTGGTGGACTGCTGCAGACCCACCCCACAGACGTCCTGTACTCAGCAGGGAATCAATACTTAATCCAGTCCAGAAGGCAGTTACTTAGAAAGGGTTGTGCAGTGACTGATCCGTGATAACTGGAGCTTCCTCATTTGCCAGTGAATTTGACATTATGTTTTCTGATTAGGCAAAGACAATTTGAATATTTTGAAAGATGTTCTTCAGGAAAGGAGTGAATTCTGAATCTGGTAGTCTACAGAAATGGTTGGTAGAGTGGTTATACATGAAGCAGAAGGTGTATGATCGTAGGATAAAGTGTTGGGCAGGCTGTGAATCATAATAGCTTGGACAGACATTTGCGTGTAGATAGAGTGTTTATCATTATGTTGTTTGGGGCTATTGAAGAGATAAGGTGTGGAGTAAGGATGACTTAGAGATTTATTTGAAAATTGGTTTGGGGTTCTTCAGTTTTCTGGATTCGCATGCAAACCTTCCTTCTTCCTTTGTTCACTTTATTCTTCCTTAAAACTGTGATTCCTTAACGTTTAGGGCCGAAGAGTTAGAAGGTCATCATCAGTGCCATTTTGTGCTCTCGATTCTGACTGTATTCTTTAAGATATATGGCCTATTCTGGAAAAGAAAAACTAAAGCTGTTACAACAAACTGCTTTTATTAGCAGATTCTGATGTCTGTTTTGCTTGTGAATATTGTAAAAGCAAGCTAATTATGACACCTCTGTGCCTGGCAAGGTCATGGAGCA